ACAAAAACAAACCTTCCTTTCAACGACAGCATAGGCATTTTCAAAGAACAGAAACAGAATCTAGTAACTGCAAACAGTGGAACCATTTAATCACATGAATATCAATACAAAAGGCCCTGCACTGTGATACTAGGCAAGGATCTTTCCTTTGAACAGTGTACGCTTAACAAAACGTGCAGGTAACACAAAGCTCCAAGCCTGCTACAGGAAAGGTTCGAAACAACATCTTTGACAGGGATCTAAATGCACAGGATGTAATTCAATTTGAATGAAAACAAAGAACTATACTCAGCTGTATCTACACATAATTGATTGCACATAAAAATGAAAAGAGGAGTGACTCACTTTGCAAGAGCTGCTGCGAAAACAGAACATAAATTGCTCTGAAAGGCAGGAGTAAATAACAAAGACCAATCATTTGTGAGCCACTAGAAGCAATCCTCTCATACTCTTTTACAACAGCAACATATGAGACAGACACTGTTTTTTGTTCTTTTTTTAAAATTCAACACCAAAAAGAAGGATTGACTGAAGAGAGTGTAAAGAGGGCTTAGCAAGAGTATCAGTTAAGGATATAAGGTGTCAAACTTGGAAAACACTAAAAGAGAGGCATGTGGTGCTTGTCTTGTCAGCCACTGATAAGAATAAAAGGACTAGAGGGAGGATTAAGGTAAGAGGACAAACAAGAAAAGGAGATTGTTCACCAAATTCCCTTGGGAAGCCTGGAGTCACCTAGAGATCTCAGCAAGCACATCAGATAAGGACTTGTAAGATAAGGCTTCAAACACAGTCAAGTCTTGCCTTGAAGCATAGGAACTGTTCTGTATTGCTCAGGATTTCTTCTACCCGCACAAATAATGCTTTCTCTCCAACCAGGCTGAAGAGCAGGAAGAAAAATCAAGCCAGTAAGCATTGCCACAATTGAACATGAAGTTTGAGCTCTGAGATTTTAGCAGGACACAAAGTCTGCACCTGCCTAACAAGGACACAGTCACAGCTTCAAAATGTTAAGTAATTTGCCTCAACAGCACTAATAAGCTAATCTCAAGTGACACAAGCTCCAAGCAGGTGGCAAAAGCTGATCATTCAGGAGCATTCTTCATAATGCTCCTAAGAACTTGACAAGATTCAAAGCTACCAGGTAATTGATGCAGCTATCATTCTACAAGGGCGAAGGAATCCAGGGATGGACACCCAAAGCTAACTCCATTTTGTCTAGTTATAGAAAGAGAGTCATCAAGCCTCAACCAAGAAATGATTCACAAAAGAATTGTTATATTATCAACAAAAAAATTAATTTACTTAGCAGTACTTAAGTATAGACGTTAGATCACAGTATAGACGTGATCACAGAATGGCCAGGGTTGGAAGGGACCTCAAGGATCATGAATCTCCAACCCCCCTGCCACATGCAG